TTTATATGCTTTACTATGATATGAAATAATTATGTATACATTATCTTACATTTTGTAATCATGGAATTTTTATATTTTGATAGCAACGCTAACAGTTAATGAAAATAACTTCTGAATTGTACACAATTTACAAAGCCCAACTCTAAATATATAAAAGCGGATCAAAATATCGAAGAATTTAAAGTAAATGAATGTAAAATTAATTAAAAATAGTTCGTATTTAAGAAAAATCTTCATATTAAATAGAAAACTTATTGCTGTTTCATTTAATTGAATTAAATTGATCTTTGCTTCTTTCGTATTTGATGGTAATTTTTTCCTTTGCGCTTATCCTCACTTTTCAATTCTATATTTCTATTTACTCCCTTGATTTTTTTTCACAATTCTTTTTCCTGTTGCTTCTTTTTTTTTCTTTGATCTATTGTATATATTACATTGATGTCGTCCAGTTACATCTCGCATCATCGAATGTCCAATATCTTGTTGATAAATTTTTTTAAATCGCATTTTACCAATCTCATAGCAATCAAAGTGTCTCTTAAATTTCTTTTCGGTATTATTGTCAAAGTTTCTGTTTGGATGGATCAGATGATTGAAAAACATCTAAAAGTTCATCAGTAAGTTGCCATAAAATTTTCTTTCGAGATTTTGCACTACAATCTGTATGAACTAATAAATTGTCGCTTATCGTTATATATCCACTTAAAAATAAATTACGTTCATTTTGTACTGAATATGAAGCTATTTTTGACTTTAACGCTAAGTTTTCACTAAGATTCCTATAAAGAGACATATCTCCACTTCATCAGCAATTTAACTCAAAATCAGGTTTTTTGCAAACTCTAACTTCCCAGAATTATCCATTTGATGCTGAAACTTTCTAATAGTTATCAGAGATACTGATTCAAGGCTTTCAGGCACAGTTCTTTGTTATCTCTTATAAAGTCTATTCCGAAAATCATTTCGATAAAGGGTATGGAAAAGTTCATCGAGTAGGCGTTTTTTTATCATCGCACTCCACATCCTTCCCTTTGAACAGTTTGTCAAATCTCGCAGATGGAAAACCATCCAACATGGCAAAATTAATTTACAAACGAAAGGATCTAAAAGTTAAGTATGCCTTAATATTCTTATTACACTATACATAGAACACATTACTCGAAATTATAATTATTAAATACATACACTACGATGAGAAGGTTATTGGCTCTGAGAATCACTGCTTCAGAATGGATTCTGGCTTCGGCCCTATGGATCTTGAGGAAACCAGAAACTTCGACGATAAATTAAAATCCAATTATTTACATATTCTTTGGATTGTATTAGTATAAACAATGTCATCTAATCATTAATGGCTGAAAAATGCACCACTGCACTGCTATCGAAATTAAATACGCCTAAACATGAGGATCTATCAATGATATACGGCGTATGAGGTGACTAAAATATTTCAATACCTTTTAACCCGCTATATTTTTACATAATTTTTAAGGTTTTTGAAAGCTTGATAATTAGATTTAAAAGTGGGTAATAATACCGTTGTAGTTGTAATAGTCGCGATTGGACAATGTTAGTACATGTATACTGGATTCGATGTTTTCAACTGCCGTTTGAGTTGAACTGGTACACCAGCTCAAAGTTCAATCGGGTAGGACACGAATTTCATCCACAATTTTGTTGATACAGACCGATTTAGTGTTGAAATAACTTTGTCACCCACCTAAGTCTTTTTTCATCAAAAATGTCGACCTGCTTGTGTTAGGCATGATTAAATTATACTTTGGTTTCTTGGAACTTCGAATTTTTTGTGAGGCACATCTAAAGCCAAATCAAATCGTGCCATCTTTGTCAACATATTCGTCATAAAATAGATCATCAGCTTCTAGGTAATTGAATCCCTATTTATAACATGTACTGTTATCAATTTAATCTAAAAAAATACAGTATAATCACAATTCTTTGCATCCTTATATAGTTCTGTATCATCTTGCACTCTTCATTATTTTTCTGGTGAGTGAAACAAGACCGAAAAAATAAAAAACAGATTTTTAAACTTCTCTTGAAGCAATTTAAAATATTATGGTACAATTTTACCTATAATATTTGTCATCCTTTAACCCTACAGTAAAATTGCATAAACGCGTACTGTTCTGTGCTTTTCGTTTCAATCATATGATATTTAAATCTATGCATTTAATTGGTTGAAATTAGAATGATCAATGTCCTAAAGTAAAATGCCATTAATAAAAATATGTAATTTTAAACTTAATAACTTCACAAAAATATAAGATTAAAAAATAAGCCATAATTATAAGAAAATAACTTATCTATCATAATAATGATGACTTGACCATAGTAACTTGCAACTCGCAACTTTAGGTTACCTAATGCGTGTGGTGATGAAGCACACAAAAAAAAGTTAATAGCTATCACAACTATTAAGTATATACATACTTCAACAGACAACAACAATGAGTATCCTCTAGCAGCCTAGAGTCCGATGAAGATATGTGATAGATGGCTAGTCCACCACACATCAAACGCCGATTTGCCTTACTCTTCGAGTAAGCACCTACAGAAGTTATCCTCTGTTGGCATTAAGAGTCCGACGAAGACTTATCATAGATGGCTAGTCCCCCACGCCACCATCAACTGTCGTCGGTTTACCTCTACTCTTTAAACAGCCGAGTCACTTACTCCTTGAAGTTATAATGCAAAATACACACATACCTTTAGTTTAGCATGTCCATTATAAATGGAAAACCGTTTATATAGGTAATTGTATCACGAATAGGAAAAGTATAGTCAAGAAAAAAGTCAGAAAGGATTTTTCATTAAAAAGATTTTATTTGCGCTACAATACTATGCTCTCGTCAGAAATAAATTTAAAAAGTTTTGTTAATGGGTGGGTTTTTTGAATAAATAATATTATATAAAGTATGTTTATTTACATGTGTAAAAAATTTATCACCAGATGATCTGCTGATCTTTTTGCTTCGTATAGAACTGATTACGTAATTTAATTCCCAAGTCTATTTTATGCAAATATTTTGTAATAATGACTAATGCGAACAAAATATACATGTATTTTTTTGCACCCGGTAATGTATACAGTAATTAATTGAATTCAATTAATTATACAATGAAAATGCGTTTATAAGTTTGGAATGATGGTAAAAACAGACGAGATAATCATTTGTAGTTCCAAATTTTATTTTCAATGTTAGAGATAGCTAGCTAGTCACGTTTTTTCAAGTACGATATGGAAAAACAAAAAATTCGAAGACATTTATTATGAATATATAGAAAACAGTGTGTCAGCATTGTTGCAAATTTTTTTGATAATGATATGTGTATACAGAAATGGAATGGTACGCCATACAATTATGTACAGTCGCCACAGAAAGTAACGCCCGATTTTTTTAAAAAATAAAATTTCAGATTTATTTTATTTCTGTCTTATAAATATAAAAATATTTTTTTACCAA